ATCGCGATACTTGACCCACGATACACGTGGGCCTATTTACGAAACACAAATCTGAAGTACATGTACAGTGTTCTCTCGCTATTGTACCCTTTGATATAACTCCAAGTCGAATATAGCAGCGATAACCAATGGCTCCCAAAACGTACTTACAGTTTTAATAAGCTCAAGTTTTACAGTGACACGATGTTATTCCCCCAAACAAACAAAAAACCATAATCAGCTGATCACTGCGAGCAGGTAACAATGAAAGTACCAGTCAACAAATTCGGGCTGAAGTACTCAATTCAATCCCATTATTATACCATCTGGTTACAAAAACGTGTTCATTGTATATCTTGACTCTGGGGTAGTCTAGTGGTTCAAGCGTTCACTCGTCACGCCGAAGAGCCGGGTTCGATTCCCCATATGAGTACAATGTGTAAAGCCCATTTCACCGTGATATTGCTGGAATATTGCTAAAAGTGGCGTTAAACCATAATCATTCACTCACTCACTCTGGACTGTTGGGATACTGCTCGCCATCCCTCTTTGTGGAGAGTGTTTTGTCACTCTGAATCTTTATGCATAGATCTAAATATAAAACAGATGAGGCGGATACACTGGCCTCCTTTGTCTCTAGTTCAGGTAGGGAAATCAGTGGAAGGAAAGTGGCTATTTGATTGTTACTGAACGATATCAGATAATCGATCTACCTGAAGCTTCTTCGCCAAATTACCTTGTTTTGACATTGCCAATCTGAACAGAAATTCTGATTCATTTGCATGAAGAAAAAATCCGCAAGAAGAGGAGCAGTATTGGTGCCCATGGGGATGCCTACTTCTTGCATTACTGTCTTACCCCACATGTTACGCAGATGTTATCAATGAGAAGGTCCAGCATTTCACATATTATTTTTTTCAGTATACTTCAGATGGCATTTGCTTCCATTTTTCACAAATTCTCCTGAACCTCTGAACATAGATACGTAACTGTATCTGTGTTCACCACACTTCTTCCTCAGTTAACACCGGCCTTATATGTGGCATTATTTTATATGTCACTTATACCAAGTTCTTTGAACAAACAGTTAATGTAGTGATGCTTACATAGAATGGGTATCTCATTTGAGGCCTTTTCATGTAGAGCAGCCAGACTTTGGATGACAGCTCTCTTGGACAGATTGGGTTATTCCAATTCCGTTTCCTCTTTTTAAGTTTGTGCATTCTACCAATGACAACATCACACACTGACATATTCCAGTCGGAAAGATATTCAACAGCTTCCTCTCCTCTTTTGGCCCATTTTGGCATATTCTTCGAAAGCACCCGTATTGATTTTAAAGTAGTGATCTTATTTGGTAGGAGGTTGCTCACGGTATTTTGGTCTATATTTGATTAAAGTTGTTATTGTCAACAATATATACCTGTGATTGTATGACCTGCAGGTTAAAAGCAGTATGGTGGGTCTTGGCAGCCACAAGTAGTGAAATTTACATCATGAGCTGCCAAGACCACGTTCTGCAACACGTTAATAAATTCAACAACCTGAATGAAATTGTGTTCGTATAGGAAAATGAAATTGTTGGTGGTTCCTGTAATTTTAAATATTGCGGGACATTTTGTGAAACTGATCTCTGTCTAAGAATGTTACTTAAATATAAGACATCGCGGTCTTTGTCTGATTAAGTGGGGTCTGTTTCTGGTTTGGTCAAACGTTTCAAAGCGATATCAAGAACTATAGTCTCCAGTCGATACTGTGGGCTCTTACCGTTTTTAGATCCACCCATTAGCAAACGTTGCTGGAGTCGTTTAATTTCTTTCAATGACACAGAGTACTTTGTGCTGTCCCAATGGTTCCTGAAGGAGAGGCAACACATCTTTCAAATGAATGTCATCATATGGCCTTCTTCCTTTCTCTGTGGAGCCGGAAACAGACTCAATACAGTGACATTAGCAGTTCGTTGTTTAGAAAGACTGCCAACGTCTTTTATTTTATCATTACAAATGTCGAATCCAATTATTTTTTCTAGACATTCTATAAGGTCGACTTTCATGCAAAGGGTTGAGTGATATTAAAGAATTGTAACGTTGGTAGACACGATTGGAAAGATGTATGTTAATTGCCTTCATGTTGAACCTATGCCCCCAAGGACCACCCGAGGATTGCAATCTAAACCATATGGTGCAGCAGTCCCGTCTGCAACACAGCGGGGGACAGTTTTACTGTCTCAGTCCAAACTGTTTCTATTTTGTTCGTTCGTTCGTTCGTTCGTTCGTTCGCTCTCTCTCTCTCTCTCTCTCTCTCTCTCTCTCTCTCTCTCTCTCTCTCACTCTCTCTCTCTCTCAATAAATAAATAAATAGAGATGGGAGTCATTGGGTGGTGGTTGTTTAGATGATGTAATGGGTTATTTGAATGATGATCCCGTATAAATAGAGCTCAGTCAGGCTCTTAGATTTGATTGGTTACTTACCATCGTACCCCGACAGCGTGGGCTTTCCTCATATTATCCACCTGTTTTGTCTTGCCTAGACTCGATAATTTACAGATATAGGTTAAACGTGTCATGAAGTAAGAAAGAAAAACAAAACTAAACTCCAATTCATGGCATTACTTTAGTATAAAGGTTTTGATGGTAATGATGTATTATTCAAATCGAAATAAATCATTAATATATATAAAAGCTTTCAGAGTAAAACTCACATGAAGCGATGAAAACTGCTGCATACCCAATCCTCCAACCCTTCCTATACTCCCCGTATAGGCTGTTTGATAAACAGATGATTCAAGTCAATGAAGAAGTCAGTAAAAGGCTTGATGGTGATGTGATGCACCATTCATAGTTTTAGCAGTTACATGCCCCACAAATATTTCATCTATAAACCTATCTCCTGTTCTGGACTACTATACCGCTCTCTGTGAGGATCTGAAAAATATGCTGTTCAGACGATTGGGTTATTTGTGTCCCAATGCTTTCTTTGAAGTTGAAAACACATGTCAGAACAATATAATGCACATAATACTCACGCATTTCATTAACTATTTGACTCCTGACTTGTATAAAGTCTTCTCTCCTAACTGATTGAATATTTATTTGAATATTTTTGTACAATTTTATTTCTACTGAAACCTTACTGTATTTTACAACTTATATCTTCATAATTTACCAGTTTTTACACGTTGTTACAGTTGTAACTTTTGCAACTCGTAGAGTTTTACAAATCGTTATACTTTTGAAAATATAGTCCCTTTCGTCTCAAAAAGTTTAATATCAGGTACAGAATGTTCGCAAATTGTTCGTTTAGATATTTGTCCATTTGAAATATATATTTATTTTCTCAATAAACAAAAATATAAATAAAACAGCAAGTAACGTTAAAGATAACTTTCAATCTACGATATCTCCTCACCAAAATACATTTTAGCTCAAAGTTTATATGAGCTATTTTCAGTCTGCTGATACCAGGACCTATTTCTGGTTTTCAGGCAAGGGTCACCGTGACCACAGGAACTATATTCCTAATATATTATTATGTCGGACTACTAAATCATTCAGGCATACTGAGTTATTTGTTTGTGTGCAAAACGTCGGCCAGTCCGAGGCGCGTGAGCTTACGTGCGTGTGTGCGTGCGTGTGTGTGTGGTTGTATAATTGTTTGACCAACAGCTTCAGTGTCTTTTATGTGCCCGGTAGGGATAAAACATTCAGCCGTACACCTACAGCCATCTTCCGACTGTTTGGACGTTACAGACAGACTGGCAACACACATGCCAAGCCGCGCTGGTGACGCTACAGAATGACCGGTACTTGCGCACTTTGCATTTGCACAATACGTTCGTCACAGCGACGGTAACGGCACCAACGGCTGCATCAGTCGCCGCACAATCACAAAGAACTATAAAGTTTGTGGTATTACAACGCACTCCAAGAAGCAACTTTCAAAATTTAACATGATTTTTTTCAATTTCTTTAGAATATTTAACTCTCTATATCTCGGAACTATAAGAGAGAATCAGCGTAACCATTCAATGAAAGATCTTAAATAAATCTGAACTGGGAATTTTACCAGATGTTCTTGTGAAATTTGTAATAAGAAAAGCTTTTGTGTAGGCGTAAACAGAAATCCCAAATGTCGATTCCAAAAATGGGGTTTTATTTCATTTAAGGAACATGAACTTGTCCATCATATTTTCCCAGTTTAACATCTATTACATGAAAGAAATATGCTTATGAATCACTATCAAATGCTGATGATTTGCGTAAAGTTGAGCTTATGCTGCCCCCACCAGTGGCACCCGCCACAAACACACGTAAAGGCAAGTCAAATGTTCACTTGAAAAAAAACAAATGTTACAAGTCAAAATAGGGAATTGCACCAGACATCATTTTTGTCATTGATGCTTTAATTTTGAAAATTTCCTCAACATGTCTGACAAAACGTTTTGAAAGGTTTGCTGAGGCCTTTTTGTAAGATTGTTCAGTTACATTTACACCTGTTCTCAAGCATCAGGACGGGGCACGGGTTGCCCAGTTGTCTAAGGCGCCGCAATTTGCTGTGCAGAGATGCGTCCCTTGGGCACGCCAGAAACCTATGATTGTGGGTTTGAATCCCGGTTCGCCCCGATTATGTTTCTAGGTTTGTCAGCACCATAACCGTGCTCGTGGGTTGAACCGAAGTGGTAAACGTCTGAGACCTTCATCACTTCGGGCTTTCCTCCCACATTAAGCTGACACGCCGTGATATAGCTGGAATAATGTTAAAAGCGGCGTTAAACCCAACTCACTCACTCCCTCACTCCCAACTCACTCACTCACTCACTCACTCAAGCATCAGGTGTCACCAAGAATAACATATAAGGTCCTGACATTGCACCTGTCACAGATGTGTGTATATCTCTGATTGGTTAACACAAATCTGGATTTTAACAATCCTGATCTGAATCAACCAATCAGAGATGGTTTTGGGACATGTGATATGGCATTAATATGAATATATTGAGCTATTCATCCTTAAACTAGCAGGTGAACTTTGGAGAGTTAATGAAACACAATGATTTACATTTGGACAACCCTCATCTTGGCCTTCACAGCCCACGCATGTAAGCATTAATCAGTTTCAATATATCATATACTGTTGCTTAAATTCAAGCCAAATTATTTGACCAACTGATGCCATATTTTACCTGTTCACCAATATGTTTGAAATAGGAATCACTAATCATTGCAACAGGCAAACAATTTGTTAACTGAGTCCTAATGATAGTGAGGGAGTTATATTTACTTTGAAGTATTAATTCTCTTTTTTTATGGTCATTTAAATATGAAAATCTGGACATTTAACTCCGGTGTGTATTTTTTAATACAAACGCATTTGTGAAGTGACCAAAATATTGATTGCAACATACTCACTAACGTGGCGGCACGTGTAAACACAGTTGTGTAGTAGTTTAAAAAGGTGAAGACCAGGCTGTCCCGACAGAGAGGAACTTAACGTCATGCGGCTGCAACAGAAAAGTATTAAATCTGATTAATGCGCATTTAGAGAGATATAAAAATAAGTTAATGTTGTTGGCTACCCGACCGCCCCAACCAAACAAAAGAGTTTGCTCGGTTCTGAAGATCTTGCAACTTTGGCTTACTGTCGATGTCGTATTGGCCATACTAGACATACACAGGAGTATTTATTGAAAGGTAAGGATCCTCCGTTTTGTATTCCCTGTGATGAGAGAATCACGGTCAAGCATGTCCGAAATATTCCAGTGTAAAAACTGTCAAGGACATTTTTAATAATGTTTATTCTAATTTTATTTGGATTGTTGGATATCTAAAACCCTTTTTATAATGTATTGTTATGAATAGTGGTATATTTTTATGGTTATATGCTAGTAAGTTAAGGGCAATACCTGTTCTGGTGTTGTTATGATAGCACGTGAATTGTATCGGTAAAGTTGACAGTTGTAAGTACAGAATGTTATCTTGATTGTGTTTTGTGTTGTCATAGAATTTTGGAATAATTGTGTGTGTGGAGATGATCGTTTGTCAGTTGTATAATGAAATTCTGACGAATAACAACGTTTACCTGAAGCAGCGAGTTTTACATACAGATCTGTGAAAGTTAATATGTTTACTATCGTTTGTGACAGGTTTTTACAGTCTACGTGTAATTATTACGTATAATCATTGAAATGACATGGCTGAGATACTGCCCATGTGAATTTATATTTTCACTCACTCAAAGATAGCTCAGCTTTCAAGTTTTGTTTGTTTGCTGTTTATCCACTGGATGCCGAGTTGTTTTTTTGACCGCACATTTTCCTAAGATCGGAAAAATGAAAGTTTTATGAAAATTGCGCTCACATGGGACTGGATATACCTCCGGCAATAAAATTACATATTGATGTAGAATATTAAATTTCCTATCTGATGGTGTTAGTAGTATAACATGCACTTTTGCCCGTTTTTTTGCCCGTTGATCTTATGCATTAAGAAATATGTTACTGTTTTCATTACCTTCGATAGCTGCGAGCAGTTTGAAACTGACACTTAAAATTCTAAACAATAGTTATGACACCGTGCGTAACCTCGATTACGGGTCGCTGTCCTCTCATTGGCTGATTTCTGCCAGCAGGGTCCCCCTCCCCCCAAACCCAGATAAATGGCGTCATATATTTCTGCCCTCTCATTGGCTGATTTCTGCCCGCAACAACAATTATCACCACCTCAGAGTAACGATGACGTATATTTTACCCTGTCCTGTGATTGGCTGATTTTTGCCCGCAAAATAATTAGACGTATCTCCTAAACCAGGGTAGACAATTATTGATTTATAAAGAGTACACCATATACTACGCTGAGTGGATACAATAATAAAAAAAGTATAACATGCACTTTTGCCCGTTTTTTTAATTGCTGTCCTCTCATTGGCTGATTTCTGCCCGCAGAAGTTCTAAAATTACAAAGTGAGATTCTCCAGCTAAAAAAAAGAAATAGAGAAAGGATATCTTTAATGAAAGCTTCTCAGCAAAATGTTTAAAGTTTTCTTTTGTGAGATTTGGTGGTTCCAAAAGGAAGCCTGTGTTTCGTGGATGTACACGTGGATGTTGACGACGTCTTAGATCGCCGTGGATGGTGAGCCAAATACGGTCTTCAGGTAACCGCAGTTGGGGGAATGTCTTCTTTGCTCTTGTAATATTTTGTCTTCAAATTTCCATTTGTACAGTTTAATACCGCACATATAGCACTGAACGCAATCGTTCATTCCCGTGTAGAAAAACCCGCACCTGGCCAGCTCGAGAAGTCTGCTTAATCTGAATAGGAAATTTGTAGTAGGTATCGCTTTTTTAAATACCTGTAGGAAGGATGATCGGGAATATCAATAATATCCGATCCCGCTGTCCACGAACTCCGACAGCTATCCGCATCCAAACATTTACATCCGTAGTCGACACTAGAGTCGCAATCGGTGCTTAAATCAATTTTCACTTCCGATATCTCGGAACAGCTTGAGCCGCAAATGATACAACCGTGATGACAGTCCGGCGATCAAATCACGTGACCAGCCGGATAATCAGTGAACACCGGACAATCACGTGGCAGTTCCGGGTCAATGACCCGAACTCAAACCCGGTAACTTAGATTTATATAAGACCGGTTTGTGGAATTAAACAGTATACACGGAACCGGCGAACGACTAACTAATTCAGCAGTTGAGAAAACATGAAACAGCCTTTTGACGAACTTCCATGGTCGCTACCGCTAACTGCGGATTGTTGGGTAGAAATTTGACCATTAAAGGAAAGAAACGTATTATGATTATTGGTACATCTATCCTGATGCGTCTTCTAACCGGTTCTACGGTAGCCGAATGGATCACTAGGACAACTAATAATTCTACGTTCGAATCCTCTGACGCTATTTTCCAGACATTAAAATATCTACCCAGATCTGAGGCTATAAAAAGTCTGAACACCCGTGGCGAAAAGTGTTCGCTTAATTAGTTCAAATTGTCGGCAGTGACCAGACTAAACGTATGTTGAGTTGAAAACCGTACTCTTTTGGATGTGAGAATGTTTCTGGCCGGTAAGGCGACCATTAAAGGAAGAGCAATGACTATGGAAGAATGTAGAACAATGCTACAGTTGCTACCTTTGATAAAGTCTGAACTCGGATTGTTTAACGTTACTGCGTAAGGAAAGCATGGACCTTCCATAATAGGCGAGACTACGTATAATATGTCGTGAATAGATACTGTCTTTATACTTGAGCTTTCGAATGTCGTATTTAAGCATGTTTATGTATTAAGAAATATGTTACTGTTTTCATTACCTTCGATAGCTGCGAACAATTTGAAACTAACACTAGAAATTCTAAACAATAGTTATGACACCGTGCGTAAGCAACATTGGCCCTGGCCGCATTGTCGTTGTTAACCCGTTAATCGCCCGAGATTGGTGATTACGGGTCGCTGACGCTGAATACGAGGGGCGATTGATAAGTTGTGAGCCTACCTCTGAAGGAGTGTGGTACGGATGAATTCCGTTGTGGTGGTGATAGACTGATCAAGTACAGTGCCATACACAGGAGGATTGTTTAATTTGACACATTATTTAGTTTAGTATAAGCTATTGACTGCAAGGGGGGTTATGAGATGACTTAAAATGGAGAAACAGGAAAAGCGAGCTGTTATCAAATACCTTTACAAGAAAGGCTTACCACCCAATGCCATATATGAGGATATGTTATCCACACTAGGGTAAGATGCCCTGTAATATGCAACAGTGAAAAGATGGGTGGCAGAGTTTAAACGTGGGCGATCGAGCACTGATGATGAACCCCGTCCTGGTCCACCTGTTGTGTCTTCAACATCTGAAATGGTACAGCGCATCCTAGACATAGTCATGGACGACCGACGAGTGACACAGCGACAGATAGCCAACTTAGTGGACATCTCTCAGGAGCGAGTGCATTTCATTCTGACAGATATTCTAGGAATGCACAAGGTTTCTTCTCGATGGGTCCCCAAACTGTTGACAGCTGATCAGAAACGTCAAAGAGAGAATCTCTCAAGGGAGAACCTCAAGCTTTTTGAAGGTGATCCAGATAACTTTCTCAAACGATTTGTTACAATGGACGAAACAAGGGTCCACCACTTTGAACCTGAATCTAAACAACAGTCCTAACAGTGGAAACATGTCACATCTCCCACTCCAAAGAAAGCAAAGGCTGTGCCTTCAGCTGGGAAAGGTAGATTTGTTCTTACCATTGTCTTTAATCGTACAATATATGTTATTTTAATATGGCTAAGTATGTTAATAATCGCCAACACCTGAAGGGATGATGTAATTCTGCTGGGTTCCATGCAGGAAGCTGAAGTACTGTAAGTCCCCATGGTACCTAGTATGGTGATCTAACTTCAGTTGCTGGTGATCTACAGCCCGTTTTTATACCGTGATGTTATATTTAGTGCTATCAATTTTATGATTCCATACTAGTTTTAAAATATATTTCTGTGATATGTCTAGTTATTTTACTGTCCTTCGTTGGCAGGTTTTATATAAATTTCAATATATGTATTATGTTTAACTATTGCTGGTCACGATATGGCTGAAATATTGCCAATGTGACTTAAAATTTTAATTCACTCACTCACTCACCTGGGAAAGTCATGGCATCCGTGTTTTGGGATTCTGAAGGTGTGATCATGGTGGACTGGCTTCCTAAAGGCCGTACTGTTACAGGGGCTTACTATGTGGAACTTCTGAGACAGTTAAGAGAGAAAATCAAAGTTACGCGACGTGGAAAGTTGACGAAATGTGTGCTTTATCATCACGACAGTGCTCCAGCACACACATCACTGACAGCAATGGCCAAACTCCACGAGTGTGGCTTTGAACTTCTCCAACATCCACCTTTTTCACCTGATTTGGCTCCGTCGGATTATCATCTGTTCCCACAGTTGAAAAGCCATTTAGCTGGAACTCATTTTCAGTCAGATGATGACGTCATTACAGCGGTCAACAACTTTTTGAGTGACCAAGAAGCTGACTTCTACAAAAGTGGCATAATGGCATTGCAACATCGCTGGCAGAAGTGTGTTGAC